TAGAAACTAATTAAAAGTGACTTGTTTCTTTAATTAGCATTATTCCGCACGTAAGGTCGAACTTAGTTAGTAAACCGCGAACTTTCAGAATTCATGAGAAATGAATGAATTTCAATTCCTTATGTAAGCCATGTTTCTCACAAAATTGATTGAATTCATGAGAAATGAACTCACCACTTCTATCTGTACGAAGTTTTTTTATTCTTCTTCCATTTTCTTTTCAACAAATGCTTTGAACCTTTTGAAAGCTTCAAATGCTTCTGATTTGTTTTGCACTAGTAATCTGTGAACAAGAAGAAATATCGGCTCCCACCAAGAGATTTCGTTTTCATAGGTCCTCACAAGTTAGCATGTGTCAAGGCAATCAAATGCTCTTCTAGACCTCTCCCCACGAAAAAATGGTTTTTTACATTGTTTTCCATATATGCACCCCTCTACACAAATCTAAAGACTCAATTTTAGGTAGCCCAAATACCATTTCTTTTTTACTTAATAACTTCATACATTTAACATTCAAATGCCCATACAGGTGTCATAGTTTAGACTCACTATTTTCATTAACAAGAGTATGGTTCTCAACACTAGACACTTCAAGTGGAAACAACTTATTTGCTGCCCTTTGAACATCTACACTAATTTGATTTTATTTTTTTTTTATCTCTAAGCACACATGAGACATCATCAAACAAAATAGAATACCCACTAGCCATGAGTTGCCCAACACTCAACAGAGTTTGCGATAATCTAGGAATAAAGTAGTCATTTTAAAGGAGCTTTACATTAACATGACCATTTTTTTACCGCCACGGTACCTTTGCCTTCTACATACTTTCGTCTGCTTGTCATCTCCAAGTTTTACATTTATCTTTTATGTCTTATCAAGCTCTTTGAATAACGACTTTATACCAATCATATGATTAGACCATCCACTGTCTAAGAATTGAATACCACTGTAAGTGTCTGAATCTTCACGATAGGCCATGAATAACTTGACTTTCTCTTCTACATTGGCATAGTTTGATTGTTTTCCCCCTTTCCCATCCTCTACTAATTGCCTCTCTTGACTGACTGGATGACTTCCCCATCACTTGAAATGTTTTCTCTCAAGTTCTCTCATTTGGTTTATACATTCTTTCTTCATGAGAGTGCAAAGAGCCCATTAATTCATCAAATGAATACGTAATCTTTGGACTCTTCAATGGCTACAGCTACATGATCAAACTTTGGACCTAGACTTCTCAACACTTTTGCAATTATAGTTTGATCAATAATTTCCTCTCAGAAGCATCTCATTTGGTTTACAATTGCACAAACCCTAGAAAGGAAATGATGTACAGATTCTCCACATATGTAGAGTTTCATAATCGCGGTAAAGAGATTGAAGTTTTCCTGTGATTACCCGTTTAGAAACTTGGAACACCTACAGTAATATTGTCCAAGCTTCTTTTGCTGTAGCTGTTATTGCAATTTTTGAGAAAATATTCTCGTGAACTAGTTGAATGAAGAATAATGTTTTATAGTCCTTATTTTCTTTCAACCTGGTCTCCTCATCTGGATCAGGATATCCATTTTCAACCAAGTCCCAAAGATCTTAAGATTTTAAAAAGGTCTTCATTTTAATGCTGCAGAATTCATAACATTCTTCCTTGAAGACTGGAATTAAAGGTTTAGAAGCATTCACGACATTGTCATTAGTCGCCATGAGTTCTACGCCCAGTTATAAAAGAACGTGGCTCTGATACCACAATTGTTGGAAATTTAGAGAAGCAAAGCAAACAGAAAATATGTAGAGAACTACAATAGAGAAAATGCAGAGAAATATTGTTTCTCATTCTTGCATTTATTCCAAAAGTAAGGCTCCGTTTGATAGCACACATTTTCCATGGATTTTTTCTATTTTCCAACTTTTGTTGTACTTGATAGGCAAAATTTTCCTGGGAAAATATTGTCCAACTTTCCAAATTTACAACATTTTTGAGGAAAATAAATTCTTGATGTTTTGGTGGATAAATATTTTCTAGGTTTTTTTTATTATTATTATTATTATTATTTTTTACAATTGGAAAACATTCTAGACACAATGGTAACAAAAAATTTCACTTTTATTGACAATTTCCATGCAAAACAAAGTCAAACGAATGGTATTAGGTATTTTTTTTTTCAAATTTTTTTTT